GCATTCAGCATTGCTCTGGACACATTTAAAATCTTGGTATTCCTGAGTTTCTCATGAAATTTCTAATGTTTCCACACTTCTCCTCCTTATCATGATAATCCATGGTCCAAGATGTGGCTTTTTGCAAGTACTAATTCCTAAGTAGCTGCTTTTGTGCATTGCAAGTTGCATTTCAAAATGGCTGTTCCCTGCTCAATGATAATATTTGTGTAATTAACAATTAAGACAGTTAAATTTTCGTTAGTGAGTTGAGGCTCAATCTGGCATTTGAATTCTTGCCCTTGAGCCCAGGAGATTTAGAGCATTGGTTTCTGAGACAAAACACTGTCCCATTTCTTCTGTGCAATTAAAAATAACCACTTAGTTTTAGATAATAATAGAGGACAAAATACCAAGTGCTATTAAAAATATTTAACCACACACAAGTGGTACATATTTAAAAGACCTTAGAGACTGGCATGTTATGCAAACCAATCAAGCTCTCATGGTTTAATTTGCAACTAAAACATTTTAAATAGAAGTAAAATCTAATTTGTACAGGTTATATATAAAAATGCAGATGGCTACAGGCAAAAGACACTAAGTTAATGCTGCTTGGCTTTCACTCAGACCTTACCCCAGTGTTCTCAAAGTACTTTGCAACTATTGATTAACGTGTTTTATGAATGAAGGATATCTCCAGCTTCTAATTATTTCTATGAAAGATGATGTAAGACAGAAGATCAGCACTGCAACCAGAAATGCAAAGTCGAGGTGCATATTTTCAAAGCAGAAAAATAAAATTATTTTAGGATGCTAGACAAGCAACTGCATGAAATTTAACTTTCTTATGGCATTCTGAGATCTTAAAGAACTTTAAATCTAGAAGTCTTGACTATGTTCATAAATATCTTTAAATGGACTAGCTTGATAATTCTAGGTCAAAAAAAAGATTCACCACATAAAGTTCAGCAAATTTCTGTATCTTTTTAGAGATTACATTACTATGATGTAGAAAGAAACTGAGATTGATTTCCCAGGGTGGCTAGGACAAACCTCTCCTTTTAGGGCAAACGAAGTATAGCGACAGAAATGCCAAAGAACAGTGGTGCTCACTAGGCACAGGAGTGTACTACAGCCTGAAATCCAGCAGCAGCTAGTCAAACCCCCCAAAAAGAGATGATTGTCTTCCCAAGCTTTCTGATTGTTGTGCTGGCTGATGGGACTACATCTGCTGCCCTATAGATTAATGAAGAGCTGTTATTGCTACTGTTGATGTTTCCACTGGACACGTCATCAATTGGCGTTCAGCATTGCTGAACAGTGAGTAAAAAAACCCAGTTTGGCTGCAAAACTTTCATCAAGACTCTCTCAGGTGGAGAAAGCAAATATCTTCAAGAGACCTTGCAACACTCCTGGATCATAAGGGGGTGAGAGAAGAGTTAGTAACACTGTGAAACATGGAGTGGGGAAGTGTAGCTATAACTTGGAGTTGCAGAAAGGATGGAAAATGTTCTTTTGACTTGGAGGATAGGTCATGGCAAATAACTGGCAACTTGTGCAGAGCAACAGGATTTGTGCACAAGGGGAATGTGATAGAGCTGATTTTACAGAAACATTTATGGGTTAGTGGGTGGACAAAAGGTTTTCTCAACAGGTTTTTGCAGATCTAGTAATACACAGAAAATTCAAATCATTCTCTTTATCCTCTACATAGTGCTACTTTATAGACAGTGTTTTGCTCTAATTTAATTTCTCTAGTCTTCCATGTGACTTTTGGTACTTCAGTGCCTGGAAAATGGTTACTGACACTGGAAATATGGTGCCTGGTTACGAACACTGCAATGAAGATATGAGGTTGCCAGACATATTGCAAACAGAGAATAATTACAGTATTTACAGTTGAACATCAAAATGGGAAAAGATGCCAAGTGGCATTTGTCAGAAGTTAATATTGGGACTGATACTATCTAACATCTTCCCAAATAATCTGGAAAATTAAGTAAACTGCACATTGACTGTATATACTGTACACACAAGAGGAAGATGAACTACAATACAGCAGGTTGGGAGGTTGAAAAAAAAAACCAGAAAGATCTGGAGATCTGAGACGGTGAAAGAGAAGGGTGCATTTAAGAGGGAAACTAACCTAGACAAAAGTAGAATAATAAGCTTAGACAAAATTAACATCCATCTCAAGGAACCAAATGGGAAAAAGCCAATTTTCATTTAAAAAAGAAATCCAAGAGATTTCACAGTTTATTCACACTGAAAATTCACATTGGGGTATATGCATCAGGTTTGACAACTTGTTTGCTACATTTCATCCTGATGTAATGCTAAAAGGAAGTATAATGTATTCCCTTAAAACCCTGCTTTTTAAAATACATTTTTACTTATTTTAAACATATACCAAATGCTCATGAAAGACCCAATTTACAGGCCCATTGGCAGAAATAATAAACAGCAATGGGACATTAGTAAGAGACAGAGAAGCAGCACATATAAGGAATTCAGGAATAAAGTCCATCTGCCTGCAATACTGTCAAGGAGTTCTAAGTGTTCACTGTGCAGTAGAGCAAAATCCTTGAAATATTAAGCTGCCACTGATTTGTTAACTTTAGTTTAGAAGCTCACCTAGACCTTGAGGAAAGCTATTACTTTATAAAATAAAGTAAGATTCTGAGGGATATTCAAGAAAAGACCTTCACAGGTGCTGAAATAAGCTCACTGAGTTAAATGACTACTGTATACACTAATGAACCTCCAATATCATCCCTAGGATGGAAAATTTCAAAAGAATTTACCCTTGCATTAAAATTAACCTGTAATTAGATAAACTCACCAAGGATAGAAAGGATATTTTATGACACAAAAGCCCCCTGCATGGACTGTTAAACAACTGCTCCTGGCTGAGAGTTTGAAGAGCACACCAGTCTTTTTCCCCATCATTATTTGGTTAACAATACCCACAGTATAATACATTATTTTGTCACAGGAATCATTCATTACAAGAAAATATAAAACCTTTATCAAAGTGGGTGTTACTTTTCTTCCTAACACAGCAATCCAAATACAGATGATGCAGACAAAATGGCTGATGTGATAGCAAATTGTATGTTTAAAAACCTGCTTACCAAGGGGAGCCATATATTCTGAATCCCCTCACCGTCACTTCAGAGTCTTGAAGATAGATGCAGTTTGTTAGAAGAGACTGTACATTTTCATAGCTCTCTGGCTTCAGCTTAGAAACAGAGGGGAAATAGTAAAAGTCCTGCTTGATTAAGTCAGCCATGAATTCCTGGTCAAAGGTCAATTCATGATTTCCTGCTATCACAATCTTGTATTCATAGGGCAGGCTACCTAAAACAGTGAAAAACAAACAAATTACTTGTTTTATGGAAAATTTGATAAAAGCAAACAGATACACAAAGTGTTATCGATTCCTATAATATGCTCACATATTTGAAACAATCGAGCCTACCCCTACTACATGTTATTGTAATTCCTGCTGATTTCAGGTAAATGACATTACTGTCTTTTTCATGGCACACTATGATTTAGCATGCTTAGCATTAATGTGTTGAAATTACTTTCAACTCATCAACCTTAAAAACCAGTCTGCAGACTTCTGCTCTACTATTTACTTCTAGTTAATTGCCATTTGTGCTGCAAGTATCATTTACTGTGACAGTGATGATAACTCTTTGACAGAAATTAGGGTTCAAAGAAGATCAGCCGCAATGCTTCATAAAATCATGTCAGCTCTCTTCTCCCAGAGCTGAGGTCTTTGTCAGCCTGTACTGACGAGGTCTAACACTCAGAACTTGGGTCAGCCAGAGGGGTCTTTGCCCTGACATTAATATCAAGCCTTCAAGCAAGGCATGGATTCAGTTTGGCTGTCAAAAATCCACATCCCACAGTGAAATCTCACCGTTTGCCTCTATCCCATGATTTTTTTTTCCTACTCCATTTTCTCAGTGACTCCCTTAGCTCCGTGGACTATAATTTAAAGTGACTCATGTTCAAGAATATTTTACAACCCCTATTTAGTGAAAAACCTTAGAACAACCTCCTGATGAAGGCAAGAATATATATGCCCACACACGTGGGCTCTTCCTGAGAGCAGCACTGAAACAGAAACTTTCCACCTGACTCCGCATTGGGTTATTCACTGGATTCTGCCCCTGAGTGCTGGCATCGCCTGTCTCAAACAGCTCAGCACAAACCTCCCAAGCACATCTGGGAGGAAACAAAGACAGAAACTGTGCAAAGCTGCATTCATTAGCTTTGTTTCTGCACTGTTAATTTGTATCAGGATGAAGACAGTCAGAAAAGGAGATTGGGACCGGAAAGAAACATTTTATTGAAAATTAAACCCACCTTGCATAACAGCAATTTTGTGGGGTTTTAATTTTAGAAATGCATCGTTGGTAACATAAAAATCCTTAGCAATGGCCCATGCTTAACCTGGAGGCAGGCTATTTAGAGAATGCAAAAAAACAGTTAATATGCAATGGCAAAAGTTGGCATGAGTAGGACTTCAGAATAAAATGCAACAGAGTGATTCAGAGTTACAGAAACAGCAGATAGAACAGTGCTAGCCTAAGGGAGGTGACACAGGGCTGAACTTTGCCAAATGAAGACATGGGTGATTCTGAAGCACAAGTTTCAGACACTTGTAACACCTGTATTAGGAAAGCTGATGGTACAGGTTCCAGTCTTTCCTAAGAACCAGATACATACGTGTCTTTAGAATTTTTAACAAAAATTCTTTTCGGATATTTATGATTGCATGCTAAATGTTCAAAATTCAATAATTTACCTGAAGGGCTTCTCTGTTTTGCTTCTGAAACACTTGTCATTTAGCAGACATGTATTCCACGTGTACAAGCTTTCCAGATGTGTGCACAAAAGTTAAAAATGTTATTTACATGCTGCAATATGTATGGGTATCTTCAGGCCTTAAAGGAATAAAATCCTGTATCCCACAACATTGTTACTGACACCATTTCTGTTCTGTTTGGTAAATCTTTTCCAGCTCATCTGATCCATCCATCTAGAAGCCAAGAACCTGTATGAGCTGGTTATAGTTGTTGCTTCCACTAATGTATTTATGTCATGTTGCTGTCTGTGGGTGTTACTTAGGCAAATTAGCAAATTACTCTAAATGTACAGTTACATTTATTATAGTGCCGGCCAGAGGCACTGCTGTAGTTACAGGTCTGTCAGCTTTTCAATTAACAACTGTGTTTTTGATGAGTATGCAGCTCAGTTGTTCGAGTTTTTTTTCTTTCATTCCACACTAGGCTTTGGTAAAACTATTTCCTGTTCTTTGTGTCCTTAACTATAATTTTTTACCCTTTAAATCTTAATTTTTTTGACTAACAAAGTATTTTCTGCTGCTTGTTCATAGATTCAGCAATGTTTTGTTCAAACCTTGTTCCTTGGAAGACTTTAGAACGTGATTTCCTTTTTACTCCGAGTGCTCTTGAAGTACAAAGTCAGGTATAAATCTTGGAAATCTTGTTCCTGCCTAGGCCCTGCTGTTGTGAAGTTACGTGTAAGGAACAGATTCCTGCACAATTTGTAGCCCTGGCTCCCTTGGCCAGGAGCTGGACATCCCCAGGAGCACATAATCTAAGAGCTGTTGCATGGCTGTGTTCCTATGCACAACCCTAGAACAAACACTTTTCCAGTTTTTATCCCAACAGCTCTTGATTGCAGATAATTCAAACACTTCCAGGTTCATCAGTTATTCCCACAGTCACACCCAGGATGGAGTAACCTCACTCAAAAAGACTGTGCAGTGAGTCTTTGTGGCCATGGCACCCTGGCTATGTTAATCACCAGTGAAACCAGCTGAACAAAGGAAGAGATCTTTCTCCTCCATGTAGTGTTGTGAGATCTCCTTTGGAGTGTGGGGTCCCATCCTGGGCTCTTCAGTGACAGCAAAACTACTGAGATGCTGGAACCTTGGTCACTGAGAATTTTAGACTGTCTATACTGACAGGCACTGACCCCCAGGAGAGCACTGCACTTGACCTGAGGCCGTGGAGAAGGCTTCCAAAATTGAATGCTAGAACTGGGATTATGTGTGCATAGTTTGAATAGAAGTGTGTAATATCATATGGTGGAAATCTTAGAGATTAAGGTTTTAGAATATAGCAATAGAAATAAAGCAAGATGGAGGTTTTAAGGCAGAGGCTAGTCCTTCTTCACCTTCTTCTTCGTGGGTTTGGGTGATACTGTGTAATTGGATAAAAAAGTCCGCATTGTGGACCACGGGGGTTGGCTATTGGGTTAAAAGTAAAAACGATTTAGGTGTCATTTTTACTTGGACAGTTTACCCTTAAAAAGCCTTGGAGAGAGAGAGATAGAGCTCCATTTTTTTAGTTTGTTAGCTTTAAGTGCTGTAGAACTCATGGTTTGTGAGACTAATATAGATAAGAACTCATAAACATCTGAGTCCTAACAAGAAATACCGTCTTGCAAATTTAATCCCAACCCTGGCAAAAAGAAGATAAAATGTGACACTGAGAAACTGAGGCAAGTCCATCAGAGAGCTGCCATGGTGGTTGGGATGAGGGGAGAGACTGAGATCTGAGGCTGTTCACACCCAGAGAAGATGCAGGGCAGACCCTGCTGCTGGTCTGCAACCACCTGGGCTCAGGAAAAACACAAGAGCAAGTCCTTCTCAGAGGTGCCCAACAAGCAGCAACAGGCACAAGTGGGAACGTGCTACAGGGAAAGAATTTTACCATGAGGATGGAAAAATAGTGAAATAGGTGCCCTGAGCAGCTGGGAAATCTCCTCCCTCGAGGGCACTCAAAGTTCACTGGGCCAAGGTTCTGGTCTCTACCTACACCTGCTTTGAGGAGGAGGCTGGACTCAACGTCCTCCAGAGGTCCCCTCCATCCTCCCTGATGCTCTAGGCTCCTGACAATCCACACTGGAAAACAAACCAGAATTTTAGAGGGCCTGCAATGTTAAAACAAATCCAAACCTCATTTTGTGTGGTAATTGCAATGGAACAAATATATGGCAGGCAGGCAATTTAAAAGGACTAGAGAGTATGTTCCATTAACTCTGGTGTAACTTTCTCATACTATCCATCTAGCAGATGAGTAGGACTAAATCCCCAACTGATAACCAATTAACATTTGATGCTAGCATATGGCTTTGCTGGTGGGCAGGTAGCAAACTCAGTATTAATACAGAAGCTCTGTGTATACAATGATATTAAAGAAAAATTATGGCTGTCACAGGAATTCTGCAAACATATCCAGGACAAAATTAATTCCCTAGAAAAAATTAAGGCAGGAAGCATGTAAGAAACAGATCTGCCCTTCAGGAGTGCCAAGAAACACATGCAAGAACATATGCTATGGGAGTCAAAGATGTAACTTCAAACAAAGAAAAGAAAAAAGAAGAAAAGTTATGAATTTGGGGGAAATTACATTTTTGTCTGATCTCTTCTTTTGACCAGCCAAAACAGGGCAAGTGTTTTTGTCCAAAGTCCAGGGATCCTTCTGTTCTTGGCACCTGAGAAGATTCTGCTCAAATATGCCTGTAATCTGGACATGAACTGCAACTAGAATCGCTGGAAAAAATTTACCTAAATATTTTTCTGTATTAAAATACCATTTGGATGGAATGGGATATATTTGGAAATTCACACAGTCTTTCTGACATTACCAAGGGGAAAAAAACGAAGCAAAATGTTCATTTAAAATATTTGGGGGTGAATAAAAATTTCATTTCTGAGTAAACTTTCATTTTTTTTTCCCTAAAGTAAGCGTTGGGTTTTTTTCCTCTCATAATGTTTAACTTGCAAGAAACTAAAATTATTTTCCTCCATAATCAACTTCTATCCACTTCATCCTATTTGGATTTGAAATGAAATATTTACAAATAAAAAGCCTGTCAGAAACACACTGGCTCAGATTCAGCCATGGGCTTCAGAGCTTTCTCTTTCAGGCCACATTCAACTTTTGCTTTCTGCCAATTTAGAACGGGGCTCCAAGCCACCATCCACCCTGTCTTAAGCCTCTGTCTTAATGTGGGATAAGAGATTTCTCCCATCCTTTTCCTTCTTCTCAGCTACATGGCTCGTTAACTTTCTTGCCTTATTTTCCCCTTTCCATTTTGTAATCTCCCCTTATATGCAGTAAAATGCTGGAGACACATTATCTTGTCCTTAATTTAGCAGTTTTAGCAAAATATATCTTTTTTCTTAGGGAAAACATTGAACTGGTAGAAATACAATGCTTTAGACTTCTGTCTTTTTGTAACTCCTTATCTTATTGAAAAACCATTTACTATATAAAGTATATAATTACTCAAAGGTAATTATGTTCCCT